AATGAGTGCCAAGTTGTGGTCAAACAGACCTGACATTAGTCAAAGTGAAACAAAGTTGTCTTCAGAGCTCAACTGAGTTGCAAGATAGAAAAAAATGGGTACATAGGTGATTAATAGTGAAATGAATTATTGGTATATATGCAGTGTTTCAGGCCTTGGTCTTCTCAATCACCTGCTATGCATCACAGTAGTGGACAGTGGATAAGGATGACAGAAGAAGAATCAATGCTTTTGAGTTGTGGTGCTGGAAAAGATTACTGAATACCTTACAGACTTTCACAAGAACAAATTAGTTATTGAGAAAGTGCAGTCAGAGTGCTCCTTGGAGGAAAAGATGATGAAGCTTTGGCCTTCATGCTTTGGATGTGTTGCAAGGCAAGGCTGGCTATTCCTTGGAGAGAAGAGGAGGCAGTAAAAAAAGGAAGAGCCCCAATGAGATGGATTGACACATTGACTGCAGCAAAGACCTCAAGTGTGTTTAAGATGATGTGACGGCCTGGATAGGACAAGGTTCAGGTCTGTCCTTCATAGGGTCATATTTAACTCGACGACAACTAACAATGGCAACAGGCAACTTCTCAATGATTTTGAGTATGGTGTAATAATATAAGGTAAAATAAGCATAACAAAGGAGCATCTATCTTCTATTCAGAATGGAGATGGGAATTCAAGCTCTATAAGACATGATCTCAGGTGTTGTTTTATGGCAAATCTAAAGCTGATCATCAGCTTTAATGAGTGCTGTCATTCAGGAATACAAGAACCTCATTGTCAGATCTTCCAATTTTCCCAAAGAACTTAGAATTTGGGACTATATGAAATTTAATTGTATGAAATTGGGGTTTGTATTTGAGTTATATTTTTAGATGTCATGTAGCCTCAACTAACTTTGGAGTCACCTTTGATCCAGGACCTATTGTAACTTCTGTTCCAAATTTGGATTGAATTCATTTCTTCCAGAAGAAAGACAACTCCAGACATTTTAGGACATAGTGAAGCTATTGAAAAAAGAATTATCTATTTTAATAGCTACATGCTGGTTGTTGTTAATGTACCATCTAGTGGAACTGACTCATAGTTGACTCATGTTGGGTTTTTTTTTTCTATAATTATATTTTATTAATTTTCATAAACATTTACAGAGATTTTGGGTTTCCATTCATTCATTGTTGCACTATTC